TTTGGAGCGTTATGCTCCATGGAGTGGTTCCCATGAGCGACACCATCGGGCATGTCTCGACTATCTGAGGCATCTCTTGAGGCACGACGACTGTCGAATGCTAGGCTCTCGGCCATGGAACTGCAGGATTTATACGACGAGATCACCGTAGTGCATAATAGTCTACCATTGGGGACTTTCATCCAATCTGGGTCAACTGAGATCCGCGTCACCGCCGACTTTCTTGCTTGGAACGCATGACAATGGAGTGATATTGCTAGACAAGGTTTTTGTAAGTCCACTAAGGCCCTTGTGTTACAAGGAGTGGTAAATTCTATAACCCTATCAGTGAGGGCTCGTAGTGCATGTGCTATTATGGTGGGCCCTATACACGATACCACTGGGTGATGCTTGTCGTCGTTTAACATCTGCACTCGAGCCTACCCAGTTACCCCGACCTGAATTCACTAGAGCGACACGTTTGTTTATATGATACATCTCAAAAGTATATATGGTTTCCAGCTAGTGATGAAGTAGTCAGGTTTCATTGTGGATATCACATCAATCATTCCTTTCCATGGTGGTCATACCAGGGCTATGTATTCTACTCATCCCCCCCCCCTCGGAGGGTCATTAGGCAACAAGCAAGGAACCGACATCAAAGGCGGCGGCCGTCAGTAGTTGACATGATGTACTCTTCTCAGTTGGTTTGATTTTCTAATCATGAGAGGTTCGACAGGGAAGATACTCATGAGGACGATAAAGTATGGTGCCATTGTCGGTGGTACAGCTATAGGAGGCACCTCTGCATACATATACTTCACTACACCTGTAAGAACTATGTCGTTGCCTATGCTTGTCGATGGGCTCAATATCAACGATTCGTGCGTTGTTGCTCGATGGTTGAAGGAGGGACAGTTGATCATGGCGTACTGAAAATTGTGGCTGGTCTCAGAGCCCCATTCCCGCGAGTGCTTATCGGAAAACAGTACCACAGTTTGATCGCAGAAAGTCGTTGGAAAAGTTATGCCGAGATGAGTACTGTGCGCCTTAAGCTCGATAATTTCATCTTCTACCGAGGTGATGACGCTATTCAGATTCGATATTATTGTAGTAGGAGGAGGAGCGACAGGATCATCCATAGCACTGGATGGAGCCTCTAGAGGCCTAAAAGTAGCGTTACTCGAGCGTAATGATTTTGGCTCTGGTACCAGCAGTCGAAGTAATGCGCGCACCCTTTATGTGAGCGTGTTGATTGATGCTAGAAAGGTACCAAGCTTCTGCATGGCGGAATTGGTTACCTGAAATCGGCGTTACTGGGGATGGATCTGCAAATGTTGAGGATGATTTATCAAGTCATAAGCTCCTCCTCTCTGGACTTACTCCCATCACTCCTCTAATGTTATTAGTCGGTGCGGGAAAGAGCTCACATGCTGTATGCGGCACCTTATCTATCCCAACCCTTACCGATATTGCTACCATCCTTCTACCCAATGGAAGCGATTCAAAGATGGCTAGGCGTTAAACTGTAAACATTCGGCCGTACTTCGGAGAACGGTATCGGGTATCGAGCTAAGGGAATGTGGTGTGACCCTCAGGTTCGATACTATGGCGAAAGTCATGACGGTTTTCAACACAGGAGTGCCCAATTCGTATTGGATAAGCAAGTCCAATACAAAATTCATGGTGGTTTTGGGTTCATAATTCGGCTTGTGCGCCTCTGCTTCTCCGATGACCATCAACATCAGTTTGCCTTGAACACTCCAATGTCGTTTTCAGTTCCCTTTGATGAAGAGCGAAGGTTTACTCGGTAGTATGCTGTATTACGATGGTCAACTGAACGACTCTAGGATGGATCTTGCCATTGCCATGACGGCTACGGTAATGACAGGTGCTAGTTGTCTGGTGGTGCAAAGTGATGCAGGTGGATGGTTACATTGATGGATGGGTACCAGCTACTGTAGTGAACCATGCTACAGTAGAACATGTGAGGAAGAATGCTCAAGGGCTTTGTGATGGCGTCCAGTAATACTCATATAGACTTATCCACGTTAGGCTTGTTCCACGGTCATCTGCTTTGATGGTCGTGGCACAGCTTCTTCGACTAACGGAAGGAATGTCTTTTTTGATGCAGAGTTAAGGACGAGCTGAGTGGTGATACATTCGAAGTAACAGGCAAGATAGTGATCAACGCGACTGGAGCTAGGGCCGACTTCCTCCGGAGGGATGTAGACCCTGATGCTGATCCTAAGATAGCAGTCAACGCTGGAGCTCATATCATATTACCCAAGTATTATCAGGAGCTCGTCCTTGATGATGTCACGTTACTTGGTACGTAGATCGTATGCTCCCCGACCATATGGCATGCTCATCCCATCGACTAGCAAGAGCCATACCACACTTTGTTACTTCCCCTGGGAAAGTAATACCCTCCATTCTGTATTCTCACTGGGTCTCACTATCCGTAGGCAATACTCTCGTCGGCGCTGTTAATCACAGTGCTGACTTGACCGACTCCCAACCACACCCATCGGTAGAGGCCCTAGATGTTATTCTAGACGAGAGCACAGAGTATCTGAATGTGAACAGAGAGGATCTTATCCAAGTTAGACCAGAGCCGTGCTATTGATATACACCACTGATTCCGTCAGGATACGCAAGCTGCTTGGAGCGGAATAAGACAGCTGAGTTGTGATCCCAACGACTCTCGTTTCGGCAAGGTACTGCATCTCTGTCGGTAGGTTCTATGGTGATTGCTGTGCTGATCAGGATTTCCGCGGTCATCAAATTGTTGTAGACCGCCGGTCTGGCCTTGTGAGCATATTCGGAGGCAACTGGACTACATGCCGGTACTACTCCCGTTAGAAGCATGCTAACACGTCATGGTGATGCACAGGTTGATGGCAGAAGAATGTGTTGACAAGGCACTGTCCTTGCACAAGAAGGATGTTTCTGTGAAGTACCCTTGCCGCACGTATAAGTTGAGACTTATAGGCAGCCAAGATCCGAGGTAGACCGGAGATTAGATCGATTATGCTAACTCAATGCTTGTGGACATAGGTTCCCATCGTGGCATGCAGATTCATCACTTCGAGTGAAAACGATGGCAATGGAGTTGCACAGAGAGTATGCAGTCGATGTGGATGGTAGCCTTCCTCCGCCGAGGTTCCAGGATCGATTCCTGCATCCATCATTTCTGCAGGTGCGACCCATCTAGCTACGACCTACGGCGCGTTAGCCCCTGCGGTATGTGAGTTCGGACAGAAAACCGATAGTCTGTATCCATTGCTACCGAATCAGGTAGTTGTGTGATCTGTCCCTCTAAGCGGGTATCTCCGATGCACTCATGACCGGGTTTTGTTATCATGTTTATTGTTGTTATTTTAGTCGTACTTGCGAACTGAAGTGCTAGTGGCATGTGATCAAGAGATGGCGGAGTCGGTCATTGACGTCATCGCCAATCGCACAAGGATGGCGTTTGTTGACCCTGTTGGCACTCTAGCGATTCTCCCCGATGTAAAATTGGTCGTTCCTCGACATTCCGGTTGTATGTCCAACTGTACTGCTTTCAGATTGTCCAAATGGTAGGAGACCGAAAGGGATGGAACACAGCGAAGCGGGAGGCCGAGGACGATAAGGCGAGGAAATTTTTAGCCAAGATGACCTATGGCAATCACACAGCAGCTGAAACGCCGATACCAGCGAGCCACCAGGATTCCCCTACCAGCGAGTAGAGATAGAATAGTTGTTAAAACTCAGTTGCTGTCAAGTTGAAGAATGATTTACTCGAAAATGCTTTTTCCCTGGCATTATTCTGTGCTTTGTTGGCATGCACCATTTAATGGGGGTACGGATACGAGAATAACTATTGACAATGATAGATTGAATCATCACTTAACTCGGTTCTATTATCCCCCGAGTCAGATAATCAGACACGGATTTCGTGCCTTCCAGACTACGCTGCGTGGGTTGTTCCGAGAGAACCATGGTCGTAGTCATGAGAACAGCGAAATTCCCGGCGACCATCAGATGATGGCGGGTCAGTCCGAACTACTGCTGCCAATACATTGAATGGGAGTAGCAACGAAGATTGTTGGACATTGTCGAGACTTCACCAGACTTGACAGGCTCTGCTCAAACAATCAGTAAATGCTTTTTGTAGGATTTTTGCGCATCATGGGTGTGTCCGCATGAATTTCAGTTATTCGCCTGAGTTCATTGGATATTTTTAAACCCACTATTTATGTGTGCGTGGTTGGGTTGATGTGGCGTAGTGTGCTTGAGCAAAGGAAACAGAGTTGGAGCTTTTGAATGCGGAAATATATTAGCTTCCAACCGTCCGCACTGAGCCCTATCGAATAACTGAAATATTTGATCAGAATGTACACAGCACAATCTGATTTGACAATTACGCGCGAATAAATACTCTTTTACGGAGACGTGCGACGCGATCTCAGAAGAATACATCCATTCGAGCGTGATTGCCCTCGAAAAGAGTCCTCCTTTGAGGCTGGGTTAGCGGTATCCTTCCGCTACTCCGAAGCAGAGTATCGAAAGGTATCAGAGTATGAGGCTCTCTGATAGAACGTGACTGACGCAATCATTTGGGTCCCTCCATCATCGTGGCAGGATTCAGAAGGGACGATTCGCTAAATAACTCTTGCGATCGCATATGGACGTCGGACGACACTTTAATCTCCCCTATCCTGGGTTTGCCAGTTCCAGAACGATAGGCTAGGCATGATAGCAAGCGAGGAATACACACGTAGCGCCCTTAAACTTGATACATTTCACGACTAACGCAACTATACATCACTCTCACCATAAAAGTTCATGTGAAGAGAACATCATTTAAGAGAACACCGTTGGTACATGAGTTATCGCGAAACACTTGGGACTGCTCTATGGATCAATCGAGCTGAACGGATCATGAACAAGCACGCTATAAACACAAAGCTCAATCTAGTGATCCAGTAACTCAGGGTCACCAAATGCCCCTCCAAGTGTACATACTCTTTTTCGCTGAATATATATTTGCTATGAAGCAAGTTACCGCCGTTATCAGAATACCGGTAGTCCTCAGCAGTACTGTTCAGCTCTTCGGCTTCCTCGTCGATAGCGTGGTTCATCGAGAAGCGAGGAGGCAATACTCTGGTCCGAGCGAATGGTTTGATTCCTACTTCCTTTGTTTTCTGCCTTTCCTCTATTTCTGGAATCATGATAAGGTCATCGTTATGCAATATTGGAGCCGCCGAACTCTCTTCTACCGACGTTGTCGCGGGTTTCCCAACTGATTGTTGATTGGCTGTTTCGCCAATGACGTTGAGGTTAGCCACATCAGGATGTACCAGCTCATCTGTTGTCGTCGCGATAATGTTCTGCAACGTGGTTTCAACATCAGATGAGGGTGATGTCGTCTTCGGTAGAGATGCCCCCTTGTTGCTTTGTTTAACATCTATCGGACTGCCAGATACCTTCAGCTTCGACGTGGGAAACTCTCTTGTGGGGTCCGCAGCCGAGCCTCCATCACTGGACCCTCGGAACTGGCTTTGAGGGGCTTGCTTAGAAGCATTGCCAGGAAGAGCCGACTCGGTGGCTTCTGCGGCACTACCGATGACAACCATCCATGCTTTTCCAAACTTATAGTTCATGGGCACTTTCTTCATGTTGGTGAAAGTGATACCGGGCATGCCTGGTCTGCCGTACTTGAGTTGCAGTGATACTACTGGCTTCCTTGGAACTTTGCAGTCCGCACCTTCTTGGACATCCCATTTAGCAGGGTACAAGTCTCCATAGTTCCCACAGAGTTTGCCAAACTTTCCACACAGCTGACTGCCGTCACTGTTCCCAGGGCATTTGCATGGTGCTGTCGGATCGTTACTCCGATAGAGAAAGAACAAGTCAACGTGACAAGCTACTTTTCCAATCTTGTGAACAACTCTCAATTCGTCAGCATCACATCCTTCCCAAGTTTCGTCTTTGATCTCCGAGCCCACCCCAGACTTCACTGCCGTTGCACGATAGTTCTGGCTCGGTAGTCGGGACTGTATCACTTGAGCCATGTTCTTCTGTTTCGGACTCGCATACTCCTCGAATGAATCCCGGCACTCTTCCTTCAACAAAGTCATGTCAGCATCGACATCCCAAGGTATAAAAGTTTTACTGTGACGGTACCAACCTAGTAGAGAACCATCACTAAGAGAAGCATCGATGCCCAGAGCATGCAGAGTATGTGTAGTAGTATTCACAACCTCAGCCATGCACTCGATAAACTCGGCACGGTTTTCCATAGCGAGGATCTCCTCGTGATTCATGCATGGCGTGCCGTTGATAAATACTTCGCTTTTAGGCCAGTCAGACAGGTCAACTTCGTCTTTGAGCGTGGAAGGACATAAGAATATGTTGTCGAGGGCGGCAGTCTTGGGAGTAGCATCAGCCATAACGCGGATGAATGGATGGTGGCCAATACGTGACTTCGCCGACCGTATGCTTCTTATGGCGTGCAGAAGGGCGATGGGCAAGAGCAAGTGCATTTACAAGAACAACGACAATGTTCGCGTCTCCTGCCCTACACGGGTAATCGATGACTGCCGCGCGGCGCACAATTCCACATACTGAGCAGCTGTAGCGTGTCGCTCGCCGGAAAACAATTCGACGCTGGGAACATTTTCCAGCCGATAACGCGTTGTTTGCAAGATTGAATGACGGAACAGCTCGACGGTTTTCGTGGATCCCAGCCCAGATCTCATCTCGACGAAGGGCTCTGTTGTTAGTCTGGCGTCACTTACACTGTGTGAGTCACATTTTGATTCCCTCTGTTGTTTATCACGAAACAACGAGGATAAGCAGACACTTGGAATTAACATGAATCCCGAACACCTTCCGTTTGAGCAGGGGAATCATCTGCTCTACGACACAGTTCTGAAAATATCTCAGTGCTTGAGCTCCCGAACCTGATTATCATCTGCAAGGAAGCCATAGCCACCAAATCACTCACTCATTCTGGAGATACGACGCGATCGCAGCGAGCAGGTTCAGCCGAGCCAAGACCTTAGGGCTCACCTAAGAGTGCTGAGCTCGGCTATTGTAGATCAGGGGAATACCTCGACAACTGGCGAATTCCAACTAGCTTTCACCGGATTCCCAGAGAGGAAAATAAAAGCACTCAGTGAACGGAGATTGACCGACAGGCATGGTGATTGTCCACAACAGAAGCGGATGTAGTTGTCAGGGCAGAGGGTGGCGTCGTCGTCTGTTACTGACAACCTATAACCCCGAAAAATACACACAGAAACACACGTGAGCCATTCGCTGGACGGAGGGTTGCCGGCTCGGAAATATGGCGTATCAGAATGAATCCCAGGCGGGGATCAATAGGTATTCTTACATTCCGAGTCCTGCTTGGGCCTTTCTAACCCACGATTCCGGGTCGCTAGGGATTCCACCGGACGCTGCTTGTAGAACAGCCGAGAAATGTGATGCATCGTCTAGGATACCTCCTGTTTCGGTGGCGAGAACGTGGTCGAATATCCAGCGCAGATCTTGTGAATCGTATTCATACTTGGAGAAGCCCAGCATATGCAGAGCTTCCTCGAAATGCTCCCAGCTTTTAACGGCCAGTATACCCCTGTCGGTGTTGAGTTTGGTGCCATCTCCATTGAAGGGTTGAACAGGTTCGATAAAAGTTCTCGACTGGTGTTGTTGGTTGAGGGATTCCAGGTGGGAAGATGCTGTCCAGAACATGAAATATGTCCCACCCATGACCGAGCATATTCTGAAGGCTCTCTCTGGTGAGGGCAGCTTGTCCAAGTGCAGAAGGGTTGGACAACCATTAGTGGCATTTTGGATGATCTCGAAAATAGTGTCCGCTCTCTTTAGATGATCGAGGGCAGGGAGAGTATCTCGAGAAACACAAGGTCTTAGCATAGTGCATGGTTTGTATGCAACGCTTATCGCTGCTGAGGGCAACTATCGGGAGTTCCGTACATCATTGACCCCCTATTCACAGAGCAGCTCCGCGAGGCGGCTACCCGAAGACCTCCCCTCACTCTTGTCATCTAGATGGATGATGTCTACACCAGCCTTCTCCAAGGAAGCTATCTTATCTTCCAAGCCACTCTCGCTCGGTTCTACTACACCGAGCATCTCGTCGATTCCCCATGTCTCGTTTAGTTTAGCGTATACTGTACAGTCGTACGATCCCTCAAGAGATACATACATTTCGGCACCTTGAACATGAGGATACGACCGTTCCGAACTTGGTGGGATCTCAACACTAGTTGAGAGGTGATTGAGGAGTTCTAACACCGGTCCCATGCCTCTAAGGGCGATCACTGATCCGACAAGTTATAATGAAAGCACTAAGTATTCACATGAAAAGGGGGTCTCCCTGACGGAGAAACCTCGATCCCGCTAAATACGAGAAGCCTTCAGTCCACATGCTGAGATTCCAAGCTTACCGCCGACAGAACTGGCTTTCAAAAACTCCATGAGAGTCTCGCCTCTCGCCAAAGCTGCCGCCTCTAGCACAGCGTCGACCACCTCCACTGAGGCGTCAGATTTCTCTAACGCCATCACTAACAGCTCAGCTCTCAGAGGGATGCCATCACCATCTACGGACTTCATTACCGAGTGCAGCATCTCTGGGAGAAATCGAATCATGTGATGCTAGAACGATGGTCGGGTTCAACACGGCCGCATGATATGCTAAGTACTTTGCAACAGCTGAGCTGTTAGGGAAGAGCCCGTTCCATCTTCGGTCGTCCCTGGCTCACTAACGGGAAAAGGTAAGGTGCAGAAAGGGTCGCCAAGCGTAGTTGTACAGAGCAACTGATGGGAGGACTTTACATGCGTAGTGCTCTCTTAGCCACCTGCAGGTAGAGCTTGCCATCTTGGGCAGGGAAACCTCGTAAACCCATCAGTTTAGGAGACCCTATCTCGCTCACACGGGTAAGCTCGAGTAGGATGGCGCTGAACGGTTCGGACGGAAGTTCCATCAGAAGTCCGTTGATGAGCTTTTCGAGCAAGTTGATATCACCATTGTCAAGCATTGGGTGAGAAGCTTCCTGTAAAAGACCCTAGGCACATGCTGATAGCTGAGCGATCCGTTATAACCACGGTGATCGACGATCACTGATCGTTATACTAGAGCTCACAAGCTATAGGGCGATGCGATAGGATTTATGGTATAGGCATCAATAGGGCGTCATAGTGAGGAATGCTCATCATCGTCGAGTGGCGCTAAGGCTCCTTGAATAGCTTGGAAGATTGACGACGCCGAACCGTCCCAGTCCAACTAAGAACCCTTTGGCTCGTACTCCTCCGTATTGATGAACCATACACCACCCCGGTTGTTTATACGCCTTAAATTTGGGAACTGCTAAAGGAGCTCCCAAATGCTGTGTTGCGAGCTGACTAGTAATTAGCAATACTTGAGTACTTTCCGGAACTACAGCTGAAACCAAGGGCCTGAAACTCACGTAGGCCTATGTTACTTGCCCACTGAGCCACAATCTTGGGAGACCCGAGTTCAAATCCCGGGCAGGGTATTCTTCGTCAATCATCACGTCACCACTGTATCACTGCGTGCAATGTCAAGTTCCCTTGTGCACGTATTCATAAGCCGTGTATTGCGGATCTCGCATCAATGGTATGGTAGAATGTTGGCGATGTGGTCCCCACTCGGTGGTTTCCAACTCGGCAACGTCAGTGATGTGATCATATCCAGTTCGTGCTTCTCGAACATCGATAGTACTTGCAGTAGACCGTATACCTTCCTCCCTCCAATGCCCTCTAGAAAGCGTAGCCGCTCAGAGGAGAGGGTGACATCGCCACAAGGGAAAGAGAATAGCAATGAGCAGAACGTGGAGCCTCCTCCTTCCTCTCCTCCTCACTCCAAGAAAAGGACCAAGGCATCGAATAAGCCTGCTGCTAAGGAGAAGGGTGATGTTCCCTCGAAGGTTGTCAATGTGGCCTATGGGGAAGTTAATAAGAAGGGTGAGAAGGTCCCTATGACCACCGTTGAGCGACACAAGAAGGGCAAGGAAGACTTCACAGCAGTAGCTTGGAATGTGGGCTCTCTTCGGTCTCTCCTCAACCATAAAGTTAAAGAACTTACCGACCTATGTAAGAAGGAACAGCCTGACGTTCTTGGCTTCATGGAGATCAAGTTGTCCAATGAGGACATGTGTGAGGAGTGCGATAATCTATTACGGGAAGCAGTTGAGGATATCTTGGGTCCTGTTGAGATTGTATGGAATCACTGTACAGCCAAGAAGGGCTATTCTGGTACTGCTTTCGTGGTTCGTAAAAGTGCTGGTAAGTTCGATAGTAAGCTTGGCATCGATGGTCACGAGGATCCTGAGGGTCGTACCATCGCTTTAGAGTTTGACGATATGGTAGTGGTCTTATGCTACGTTCCGAATTCAGGGCAGGACTTGAACAGGCTTGCCCATCGGACCTCTGGGAAGGAATGTTTCGATGCTAAATTGGCAAAGTATTGTGGAAGTTTCGATAAGCCTACCTTGTTGTTGGGAGATATGAACGTGGCAGATCGTGATGTGGATATCTGGAATGTCGACAAGCCTCATATTCCTAAGAGTGCCGGTACTACTACTCCTCGGGGGGCTATCACATCGGCAATACTTTGGTAACATTAACTGTGTTCTTGATAGGTACCACGAATGAGGAGCGAGAGTCTTTTAGGGAGCATTATACATCTAAGGGTTTCACCGACACCTTTGTCAATATGCACCCAGAGGCTACTGGTTGCTTCTCTTACTGGTCCGTTCGTGCTCGTAACAAGCCCAAGAATAGAGGCCTCAGGCTGGACTACGTTATCACAGCTCCAGGCTTTCCTATGGATAAAATTAAGGATGCGTTTATTCTCGAGGACTTTGCTCCCCATGGTGACCATTGTCCGGTCGGGATCACTTTCAGGAGGTCGAAGAAGCACCCATTGAAACGGCAGTAAGTCTTGACTCCCCCTTCTCTGTTCTCGCGGACTGCGCGAGGAATAAGGCTTTGCACGAATATATGTACGATTTTCTAATTAGCTCTGGGTTGAGTTGGTACTCTAAATGTTCGGGTCGGAACACTGGTTGTTTCCTAGCTATCCTAGCTGATGCTCTTGTGTTGGTGTCAATTAGTAGAGGATCAAGTTCCTAGTGGAATCCCACACCTAGCTAGAGGCAGCATCCCGTGTTCGCTTCCAGTAGTAACCGTCTAGGCAACCCTCACAGTACGAATGTCCGTTCATTCGTCCCGATGTATCGTACCAAGCCCCCAAGTACCGGGGTCCTCAACATTCGGGAGTCTGACTGCGTTGGAGACTCCATCGATGAGTGATGCTGTTAATACAGCAGCTGTAGAGCTAGACCTACTCATGGGATCAACTGCTAGTCGCTATCCAAATGTGGTGAGGTCTGACCATCCCTCATCCCTGACTGCCCCCCTCCTCCCCACAGCTCCACTTCCTACCAACAGACGCCAATATCATAGTCATGGGTGTAGGGGCTGTGGTGGTGATGCAGGACCTGAACAATCCCCATGAGCAGACCCTTCTTAGAGGGCATGATTCTGAGGCACTGCAATGGGCTGTTTCACAAGTGTCATCACTTCAACTCAGGTCTGTGCTCTGGCAGTATGCAGTAATGGCAAGTACATCGCTAGCGGTCAGCTAGGGTCCGAAACACAGAAGGTCTGTGGAGCATGATGCGCTCCTGTCGGGCTATCGTATGGACCTCAGGGCCAAGTAGCAGCAGTTAAGGTGTGGTCGGTATCGGCCAAGGAAGATTTCCTTACCCTACCCGGGATCTGTGGCAAGTGGGTACTCTAGTGTGAGTCTAGTGACAGCATAGTGCAGATGCACTGGCCTCGCCTTGAGTGCTGATGGGAGGTTCCTCGCCGCAGCAGGCCTGAACCAAATGCTTATAGTATGGGACGTGTCCACTGGGGGAGAGCAGGTCGCCAAGAATGGCCTGGTCCGTCAACCACCTGCTGTCGGGCATTCAGATCTATGCACGTCGTACAGAACAGCTGTGTACGATTCTGGCCCTGCACCTTCTTCCACACACTACTAACGATCAGCCCGACGCACAGCACCGCCCTTCCCGAGTCGTGAGGGCTCAGTAAGGCATCATCGTAGTCATACGAGAGAATGATTCACAAACTGACGTGCTTACCGCTTGCAAGTCTTTATCATCATCAGAAGTAGTGGTAGTATGGCAGGCAGAAGCAAGCCAAGTACATACTGTGTACAGCACAGGACAGTCTAGTTATGAAACACACAATAGAGTTCGATATCTCCCAAATGGGGTATGTGATGAGCAGCAGCGATAAGATGCAGATGCCTGGTGGTGGGGAGTGCCATCTACTACTCCATCATCAGCTGTATGCTGTCAGTCATACCTTACTGCGTAACTACACGTGTGGTGTGATAATCTCCTCTCAGCTGGTCACAGGA